TCCCAACTTAAAATTTGTTGGCTTGATTTACGAGCCCGCCCAAACAGAAAACCTATGACCGAGCTATAAATATCTGGGTTGGGTTTGTCTTAGGTTTAAATAAGGGAAATTGTCTAAAACTCACCAAGAGTTTTCAACATTTCTTTTAAACTCACCACAACTTTTCAAAATGTCTAAAACTCACAATGTTAGTAAGTTTTTATTTTTCAAAACTCACCTTCCATTAGTGCACCACTAGTGCTTCTTAAAAGAGGTGTCCATGTCAGCATAAATAATAATTTTCATGACCAAATTATCCTTGAATGGTGAGTTAGAGGAAAAATGGTCATTTTCAGTTTTCAATTTTCTCGTTTTTTTTTGCATTTTTAATGTTTTGTTATAATTTCCAATTTTGTTATAACTTCTGTTTTTTTATAATTTCTGTTTTTTTACAATTTATAAATTTTCCTGAATTTTTTGTTATTTATTTACAATTTTTGTGTTTTTCTATATTTTTTGGTGTTTTTTCTACAATTTTATTTTATGATTTTGTTTTTAAATTTCTATAGTTTCTATAATTTTAAAATATTTTTTATTTTGTTTGCAATTTCTATAATTTTTATATTTTTTGTAATTTCTATGTTTTTATGTATTTTATATTTGAAAATATGTTTTTGAACCTTTTCATTCTTTTCATGTCTAAATATTAAAATGGTAATATATTAACACCCGTTAATTTATTTTGTATATATTTTATATTTTTCTATGAAGGTTAAAATGGTAATATATTAATGTCTGTTAGTCTGTTTAACGTCAAGTTAGTGACATGGTAAGTTTTAGACATTTTGAAAAGTTGAGGTAAGTTTAACAGAAATGCTGAAAACTCATGGTGAGTTTTAGACAATTTCCCTTTAAATAATCATCCTTACCATTAGTGCCACCCTTGCCATAGGGAGAAAAATGAACATCCATCGTCGATTGAGATGGGTTCAGATCTCAAAATTCATTTTTCTTTTAAGTCAAATGCTTGTTTTGGACTTGAAGGATATGAGAGCCCTTATGATTAGAGAACAAATTAATTTAAAAGAAAAAAATGTTAATTTAAATTGTGTTAGAACTTAAATATCTAACACTTATTTGGATTGAAAAAAGCGTAGGTTGCATAGATCGTGTTGGTAGTGGGGAGGTAATCCCAACACTCTAATAAACAATAATATTAAATTTATATTAAAGTTACAATTAAATATGATAACATGTATTATTAAAGAATATACTTAATTACCTTATAACTTGAAAATTAAAATTACAATTGTTTAATACAATCAGATTAAATTAAAATAAGTAAATGGAAAAATAATACGTTAAAGTTAAGTAAACCTAAGCTTTATATTTGCACCGACTTGGTTTTAAATATATTTGGAGAGTGTTAATTATTGTAAATTAAATCATTTAATTATTGTTTGTGTAAATATTTATAGGAAATTCAAGTGGACTTTTATTATCATATGGTTGGTCATGCATAATCTATATGTAATTAATTTTAGTTTTTTGTCAATAAATTCATAAATCATCATTTAGGCTTTTGTTAAATAAGGTAATATTCTCCTAAACATGACAAGGCTATGGAACATTAGAGAGTTCATTATATCTTAGTTTTATTTAATAAAACCTATGCATTGCATGGGGCCCAACTAATAAATTGCATATAGTAAAATATGTGCAAGTTGGATTGGAATCTAGGCAAGGCGGAAGTATTAGGCACAAGTCCAGCTTGAGCCTAAATACAAAATATAGGCTCAAGTCTAGAATTTCTAGGTTGGGATATGAAAATTATCACCAGTAACCATTGCCATTCTAGGCTTTCAACATATAGATAGGTAATGGCATTTCATCACAAAACACTAATGATGATCATGCATTAAACAAGTATTTGGAGTAATATTGTGTTTGGAATTAGCCTTGCTAGATAAAGGATTTTAAATGAAGTGTTTATATTTAATGTGACATCATCCTATTATACATTTATACCAACTATAATCAAATGGTCAAATTTAAAAATAAATGTTTTATAATGGTTGACTCATTATTATGACTAGCATTTAGTGTAGATATAATCATATAATATTTTAGAAGCAACCAACAAGAAGGAAAATATCCTTTATTTTGGATGTATGATTTATGGGTATTGATGATGTATATCCACAATAATGTATCTCTATTGTGTCACATAAGTAGAGATGTAAGTCGGTTAGGTTAGGTGGGGTTGTTGTCAATCCTAATTCAAACTGAATTGTTGAACCCCCAACCCTAAAACTTTGGGTTGGGTATGGATTAGTCTCATATTGGTCCAACTTCTTTACTTTATTTTGCCAAATGTACTTATTTCTTATATTCCAAGAGTTTAAGCTAATTCAATATTTACATTTAAAATTTTTGACAAACAGTATACATGTATACACGTACATAAATGATGAATACATAAATACATAAACACTTAAGGCGAAAAATGCATATATATATACCATGTTCATGCTGGATGGAAAACTCGAATGGAGAGATGCTGAGGTTGACAAACCGATATGCAAGATAGACGCAATCAGAGTAGTCGGGGGTTTGGACCTAGGCTAGGCACTTGGATGCTTAAGTTAGTCGGACTTATTGCAAGAAGGTAGAGAGTTTGAGAGTAGAAAAGTAATCTAGTTTTGAATTCAACCGTGCATACCTTGTGAAGGAATGGAGGAGCCTTTATATAGGCTTTAGAGTCCAAGAATCGTGTTCGAGATATTTGGGAGCAATAGGTCTTATCGGCCCGTTATCTTTGAGGCATGTTGCACTTGTGTTGGCGATGATTAGACCTATTCACGGGGTGGGCTTCGGGCCTGACTTATATTGTGTCGGGCTCGGGCTTCGGGCCAGGCTCCATTCAAACTTTGGCAAAAGCCAAGCCTGAGCCCAAGCCCAATCCATGAACAGGTCTAACGATGATCCGCACCCAATCTCTCCGAAGCGTGCGGGGACCGGGGTCATCCCTGCTAGGTAGGTGAAGTGTCGCTAGCAGTTTTGGAACCGATAGGTGTGCTAACCAAACAATGACAACTCACCACATAGGTCAGTACCCCAAAGGTTGGTTTCCTAGGTTGGGGAGGTAAAGCAGATTAGCCACGTGTCCTGTCATAATTGGTTGGTCAAATAACCCCTCATCATATACATTACGAATGCATAGTTGTATATACATAAATAAATGCATGAATAATAAATATACATTTATACATGCAAATGTGAGATTAAGTTGGGTTCGAGCTAGCCCAACCCAAAATTAAGTTTAAGTTCATGCTTTTGAACTTCAACCCAACCCCAACCTAGCCTACACTTCAAGTTTAAGCCTCAAACCTAGTCTGAACTTCAACCCAACCCCAAAAGCCTACACACAAGACATCAACTAAGAGCAAATTAAGTCATTGTTTCTTCAAATATATGTTTGGCATCGATGCTGCAAATACAACACCGTTTTCTCGGTGTTGCTGATGTGTGGGTTGGAAGCACTATTTTTTGAGAAAATGGTGTTTTTTTTGTTTGGAAACGTTGCTACCAGGTAGGATGTTTCCTAGAGCAACAATAATACCTTATGTTTGGTACCAGTGCTCCATATTTGTTTTCAGCATTGGTACCCATTATAGGAAGTCCATGTCGCTACCACATCATGTCCTCATTGACAACAATGAGCTCCAATATGAAAAATGTTGAATTCGGCGTTGCTCCAAACCACACCTTCTCGATTTCCAAGGCATGGCTTGGAGCACCGTTTTTTATGGAAAAATGGTTCCAAATATTTTGATGTTTCTTGGAGCACCGATTTTTCCAATGTGGCGCTGATGTGTCACCATTTTCTGAAGCAATGACATCGATGCCAAACAGACGCCAAACAAACAACTGATGGACAAAACATCAAACACCCTTAATTTACGTTTCTAGTATAGACACTCTATGATTGTTTTAATTACAAATAAACAAAAAAGTTGACATTTCAAGTCAAAATGTCCAAGTAAGGTTGACGTGGCAGCATTTCAAATATAAACAACCATGGTGAGTCTATAAAAACAAAAAAAAAATGTACCATCACCATAATCACGGAAAAATGTATGATATCGAAAATATATGGTACCGATACTATCAAAAAAGCTTTCACCAGATACTAGTAGAGGACTTAGAGGTGTAAATTGGATCGTGCCGGTTGTGGCTTAGCATGACGGACTGTGGGTCGTGTCAAGCACGACACGATTGTATGGGCCATGTTAGGCCTAGGGTTTTAGGTCTATGGGTTTGCATGACACAACATGACTGAGTAGGCCGTGCCGTATGTGGCCTGACCCATTTTTATTTATATATTATATATAATAATAATATAATAATATAATATATAATTTTATTTTCAAATTTATTATATTATTGTATATATAAACAATTGTATACATCAAAATTCATATAAAATAAAGTTTTAAGATTTTTTTTAATTTATTTTATTTTTTTAAATTAAAAAGAAAATCATGGCTTGGCTCAATTTGTGGCCCGACTTAGTCCAAGGCTCAGCCTGAGGACTAGCCCAGCCCGTTAGCTCTGGCCGTGAACCGATCTGGTGCTGGGCCGATTCCCAAAAATATCCCCGAAAAGGAAAATACGGTTCGACTTGACCCACTGGCCGATGCCTGACACAGCACAGCCCGCACTTTGCATGGGCCGCATGTGGACCATGCTATGCCCTTGCACGGCCCCATTTTCACTTCTATACACGAGACACTAATCACATTCGAACATACAAGGCGGAAAAGAGCCCGCCGGGTCTAAACTTTTTTACTCTTAAAAAAGTTTAACTCTGGAGCCTTTCCCGAGACCGAACGAGGCCCGCGAAATGGGATTGTTTGTCCAATCCAAATCCTAAATTCGGAATTTCAAAATTTGAAAAACCACCGAAACCTAATAAGTTCCGAAGCACCAAAACCCGAAACGGCTGTCAAAACCGCGCAAATAAATTTTTTGAAATGACAGAAATGGCGGTTTCTGTTCGCAGTTCGCTCTTTCTTTCTCAGTAGCTTCAGTACAAAGGCCATCAGTTAGCACACATGTTTTCATCCTTCCATCTCTCTCTTAGGTTCTCCGCCCTTCCCATTTGACCAAATCCTCATTCTAACGTCGAAACAATAACGCCCAACGACCATGGCCGATCAGGAGAACTGCATGCGCGTCACTCGTGCAGCGAAGAAGAGGGCTGCCGCCGCTTTGGCGGCAACACAGTCTCTGCAACTTCCCGCGAATAAAAAACGAGTTGTGTTGGGGGAGCTCACGAATTTATCAAGCCTTGTATCGAATCAGCTTTCGGGACTTGAACCCAGGAAGCCCAAATGTAGAGTGAAGAAGAAGGAACAGAAACCGGTTGTGCCGGACATTGACGCGGATTCTGATGACCCCCAAATGTGTGCGCATTATGCACCCGATATCTATCAGTATCTCCACTCTATGGAGGTACGGAGTTGTGGCTGTTCTTTTAATATTGTTCTGGCATTTTCCATTCTGCATTTGCATTTTATGTGGGAGGTAGGTTTCTGGTTTCTAAGTAATTGGACGAGGGTTTTTGACTTTTGGGTTTACTGTTTTCGTAATCTTTATTAATGGTGTACGGGTGGATGTAGAGCTTCGACTTTTGGTAAATTGGATTTGTATATGGTCTATGCCAATTCACACGAAATGCTTCTCTTCTAGGTGGAGGAGAAAAGGAGACCACTGCCTGATTACATTGAGAAAATTCAGAAGGATGTTACAGCCAATATGCGAGGGATTTTGGTGGATTGGTTGGTTGAGGTTGCAGAGGAATACAAGCTAGTCCCCGACACCTTTTATCTCACCGTTTCCTACATCGACAGATTTCTATCCTCGCATGCTCTTAATAGGCAGAAATTACAGCTTCTGGGCGTTTCTTGTATGCTCATTGCCTCGTAAGCACGCGAGATTCCATAGCTTTATTGTTATTTCTCATCTGATTGTTGGTTACTAGTGTTTTTCTCTCAATCTGATAATTCTCTCTATCTTTTATTCTCACTTTGTTTCTCAACTGAGTATTCTCCTTTTGGTTTGTAATGTAGGAAGTACGAAGAAATCAGTCCTCCGCATGTAGAAGATTTTTGTTATATAACTGACAATACTTATACCAAGGAGGAGGTGATTTTCCTTTCTCAATTTCTCCTTATGATCCATTTGCTTCTACCTTCTCTATTTTTTTCTCCCTTTGCGTATCCTTTTAAAGTTTTTGCATGATTCTGTGACTAAATTGCAGGTGGTGAAGATGGAAACCGATATACTCAATTTTTTAAAGTTTGAGATGGGTAATCCAACGATAAAGACTTTCCTCAGGTGGGAAAACTATTTACTTCTGTCTTCTTTTTTTTTTTGCTCTTGTATTAGCCATGTATATGCGAATACGTTGTTGGCATGTATTTTTCTAATGTTTTTGGATTATCTTAGGCTTGGATTGCCGATGGCTTATGCATGATGAGCTTCCTTTTGTCATTTTATCTTGTTCAATTCACAAAACACCTGTCATATTTGTATCCAACAATTACTGAACTGCAGGCAGCAGTCTCTGTTCTATTGTTGGGATTTTTGTGTTGTTTTCCTATGATTATTTTCTACTTGAAGGTGTTATTATTATCTGAACTTTCAATGTGCTGACTGCTGATTATGGTTGATCTTCTGTTCTGATTTGCAGAAGATTTACAAGGGCTGCACAAGAGGATCGTAAAGTAAGATACTAATCGCCTGTCTTGTTTTATCCTTGTTATTTTATCAGAACCTTTTATATTGGTGCTGATTACTGAAACTTAGAAGTTATTATTTGCAACTAATTATCGGTTCTATCATTTCTATACAGTCTCCCAATTTGCAATTGGAGTTCCTGGGGTGTTATCTAGCAGAGTTAAGCTTGTTGGATTATGGTTGTGTACGGTTCTTGCCATCACTTGTTGCTGCTTCAGTTGTATTTCTTGCAAGATTCACAATCCGACCAAAGATGAATCCTTGGGTGAGGACCTGGTCCCATGCTTCTGCTTTCTCTTAATTATCTGTTATTGTCTACTGAGGGGTAACTAATGAATTTGTATACATTTTGCAGAGTTTAACCCTGCAGCATTACTCAGGATATAGACCGTCTGATCTAAAGGATTGTGTCCTTGCCATACATGATTTGCAATTGAATAGAAAAGGGAGTTCTTTGGTTGCTGTAAGAGATAAATACAAGCAGCACAAGGTATCCTTTTTCTTTCCCCTTTAGTAACTGTCTGGTGGTGCCCTATATTTTACAGAAGAGGTCTGATTAAATCTTGACATATTTTTAACAGTTTAAATGTGTGGCAACATTGGCTTCTCCCCCAGAGATGCCTAATCATTACTTCGAAGACATAAAAGGATAAATGACGATATGATTCTCAGATTTTGGTCAGATTGTGGCGACTGTATGACTTCAAAGCAGAAATATAGCTTGGTATTGGGGATGAAAGTTACTGGAAGACATTTATTTGAAAGGAGATTTTTTGAGCTTCTACTGCCTATGTGCCTGAATGCAGTTCTCTGAAATGGGTGTATGACCTAGAAATAGTGAGTTCAAAGTCTGTAAACTTGAGAGAAGCAGAGCTGGGAGCATCTCTAGCTAGAAGGATATCTTCCACAAGTAACTTCGGATGATTATTGAAATGGGCATCAACTTCCTGAGTAAAATTCTTATCATGGTGTGAGCTAAGTTGGTGGGTCATGTTGATATAAAAAATACTTGTATCTTCTGGTCATATGTTAGTTCTTGATAGGATTGTTATAGGAACATGGACTTAACTCCTGAATCATGATTCTTTTGTTTTTTTTCCCTTTTTTCAACTAACCTGTAAACAAACAAATATTTCATACTAAAGAGGTTTTATACTTAGGCCTTGTGCTTCCAGTTTGTCTTTTGAATGTTCTTTTTAGCCTTTGATTTTCTTTCTTGGTTCACGACGTGTTTGTAAATTGTATTTGCTATGGTGTTAAAAGACACAGATGAATTGCTGAAGTTGGAAGATGTTCACTAATAATCCTCTGCTTGAGTGTACTTTAAGGTGATTACCATTTGCGAATAGGGCACGAAATAAGGTGGAATTGAATGGTGGATTTACTTGGGATATTGCCTTGATCTATAGTTTGTACTTGGTGGCTTTGAATTCTAAGTTTCTAACAATACTTTTCCCCCTAAATTTGTAATTTAAAATGGACTGGACCATCAGGGGCACATTAGGTTCACAGTTGGAAATGGAATTGAAATCCATCAGAATTGGAATTGGAATGGCCTATTCCTTTTGCCCATTTGGTTCAAATGATCATTCTCTTAAATGGTGGAATAATATTCCAACAAGGAGGGGAATGAGATTCCAATTCCACTTAACCAAAGGGTTAATTGGAATATTCCACTCCAATTGTCCCTATTCCTGCAAAACAAATGGACCCCAAGTTTTGACAAAAATCTAGATTTGATATGGGTCTTGCTATATCAGTAATTCAGTGATGTTGGGCTTGTACAGATCAGATAGTTGATTTGAACAGTGTGCTGGTGAGTTTTCTTTCTAGGTCTTGGCTTTTTTAGGTATGTTGTGGTAAGGAGCTGATCTTTTTGTATAAGTAGATTATATATAGTCCCACCGTGTCATATCAGTAATAAGGAATTCAGGATGGGAATGGGATTGAGATCCACATCAAATCCAGACAGTTCACTTGTATTGTACCTTTAAACACTAAGGCCGTGTTTGGTTTGAAGGAAAAGGTAGGGAAAGGAAGGAAAAAACAGGGAAACCTATACGAACCTTGTAAAGGTTTCCCTGTCCTTCCCTTCTTTTCCCTACCATTTCCTTGGAACCAAACACAGCCCAACGAAAAAGAAGAAAAATTAAAGCAATGGCAGATCTATCTAGAAATTGCTCATATTGAGATTTGAAAATGTTGTGTATATGAAGAAATTTATTTATTTATTTTTTATAATTACCCCACTCAAATAAAATAGTAGAGGGTCAAATAAAATTTAACTTGTTAAATGAAGTCTTTTTTTCATGGTTTTAAAAGGCCTAAGAGTAAAGCCACAGATGTACCCCCATCCCTACTGATCAAAGGTCCTGGATCTGCCACCGAATTAAAGGGATCTGAAGATGAAATGTACAAAAACCACATGTCTGAAGTACACAACCACGCTGTGCATCTGTAACCCTTTGCACCAACATTTGATGGTGGCAGGGTGCAACTTAGGCTGATTGAATCGGATTGAGGGTCAATCCAGGCCCAACATTAAGATTCAAATCTCAGGTTTAGGCGTGGCCCAACCTAATCTCAAGCCCGACCCAAGTTTCATTCTAACACTTCGGGCCAGGTCTAACTGCTAGTCTGGTCCGAAAGGATTTAAGACATTTTTTTAGGTCAATAAAATAACCACTATTTGATGAACATTGCTTTAGAACTTGTTTGAAGGTTTGTTACAAATTTAACCAAACAGTCAACCTAGTTTTAATTAACATCATGTATTTCCTCTAAATCCTGCATTTCTTCTCCTTCCTGCTGCGAGACCTCGGGAGCAATGACTAAGCTACAATGTGAAATTGGGGGAGAAGGGGCTAAATAGAGAATTCCTGTCTAACATTCTTCTATCCATTAGGGATGTTTCTTTCATGGTTTTAAAAACCACTTAAAATGGAACCATTTTGACCACCGTCTCCTGGGTCAAATGGTTTGACCGTCCGGTTTGATATTGGGTCAGACAGTTTTGGGGTCTAAAATCAGACCTGTATCTATGACCGGTTTCCAGGTCAATCAGTCTGACTGTCCGGTTTGCTCTGGTTTTCAAAACCATGATTTCTTTATTTATAAAAATTTCAACATGTTAAGTTACCGGCAATTTCTGTGATGCTGGAAGGCGGGAAGGGTATGATATTAGAACTTTGACAGTTTGACCAATCAGTACCCCTTGTGAATTTTAATGAATTACAGTTGATTGGTTATTAGTTTTTAGGTATCATGCGCTTTTGGTATCAAGATTGGGCTCCAAATAGTCTACACTCTACAGCAGTGTTAGTTGGACTGGATTTTGTCCAATCCGATCTGGTCCCAAATGATTCCATTACAAATGTTCCAGGTTCAACCCAATCTGGTGAATACTTTGGACCATTTTGGATCAGTCCAATTTAATTTTCGGACCGTCCAATCTATTCAAATTCATTTTAATTTAGATTTGTTCCAATCCAAACCTGGTCCACTAATATCTGTATTCTTATCTTCTATCAATGGATCAGATATTGGTTCAATATTGGTTCAATTTGACTCAATCCAATATAAATCCATTGGGGATGGACCAGGTCCAATCCTTTCCAATAAATACTTTACCATTAAGTCTGAAGTGGTCCAATTCAATATGTGTTATTGGTCCTTTCAATCCAATCGGTTCAAATTGATTTTGATTTGGATAATGATGAGGGGCGATTTGGCCCTCTAGTGACGTGACGATACATGGCATTTCATAACAATCAAACGATATCTCAACACCACGTAAGCGGATTTCGGGAGCACTTCGGACACCTTGCACCCGCCTTGACGACATCGGCCCACCTAGACAGGCTGAGTTGCGAATGGCCCGACAAGACATCAAGTAGGCGTAAGCGGCAACTTGATTTTGCCGACCTGACCTGAATTCGTTTAGCTACCTGCCTGATGTGTTAGGCGACCTCCTCCTTAAGCTGGTTGTCGTCTTCGACTTCCCTGGGACCACAATGCCACAACAATGGATGCTCGCTTTGAATGCAACTGGATAAGAGTTACCAGCTTACGCGAAGTCCGCCTCTGGGCATGAAACCACCTTTGAATCAGACGGGCCGGGGATCTCGCACATGCTTAAGGATCCTCATGGCGGCTTGCCTATATAAAGGCACCCTCTTTCACAGAAGAGGTACGCGTGATTTAGCTTTCACACACTCTAGCTCTCAAGCTTTCTTGCTATCAAACTCTAGTTCATTGACTTAAGCATTGAAGTGTCCACCCCGGGTAAAGCAGCCTGGACACTTTGATCACTTCTCTCTTGCAGCTCAACCAAGCGACCTACCAGTCTGGCGTCTGAAATGTCTAATAGAAGGAAGCACTAGATCACATACCATCAATTGGTGCTGTCTATGGGAATACGTTACACAAAAGTCGAGTTCTCACATGTCAACTAAAATCTTAAACTCAATGGCATCTTCAAGCAACGATCACATTAATAATGCCAACAACAACGCATGTGTTGACGTGTAGTCACAAGGGGGTAGGACCAGCCCACGATGCACACTGAGGTCCCCTTTGTTACAATCGGGCAGTTCACCGTCCCCTTGACCCTACCAGGTATCCTTGTCACACAAAATCCAAACCTTCCCCTACTCGCTGTAAACGTGCATCTTCTAGTGGTCAAGCTCTCCCTGGTTCCTGTTGGGATTGATGGGCCGCCAGTTTCACGAGATGGTGCAGTTCGTCCACATGATGGACCTGCAAATGAGAACATGGGAGAGTTGTTTTGCAGTGATGGCTAGGGTGCAACAACAACAACAACAACAACAACAACAACAACAACAACAACAACAACAACAACAACAACAACAACAACAACAACAACAACAACAACAACACCAGGTCGCCAGTCAAAACGTGAACTAGAACTAGCAGCCCGACAACCTAAACTAGAACCAGGTATCGGATCCACCTCACCGTCATGACGATCCGAGCTAGGTTCCCTTCATGGAATTATCTTGAGCTATAACTTCTGAGGCTACCAGCTCTAATGAGGGATCCAGGAGAAGGCGTCACAGGCGTACATGCCGCAACGTAGGGAAGAGCCGCCTTGCCTCGAATGATAACGAGGAGGCAAAGAAGGAAGAGGAGGAGGTGAGCCAGATCACCACTCATTAGCACAACCAGTGAGTTGCACCTCACCACTAGCCGTTGAGATTCTCACTGTCTCATGGCCTAAGGATTTCAAGGCCCCTAGCCTGGAGTCCTAGGATGGAACAACTAACCTGATCGACCACCTCAACAGCTTCCAGGCCTTGATGCAGCTTCACGCAAGTACACAAAGGCTGAGGAAACTCTCGGATCCAAGTAAGAGCTGAGTGGAAAATGGAAGAGGTTGGAAGACGAATAGGGGAGTAGTAAATAGAGGAAGAAGAGCAGGTCGCTGAGGCGCAACAAGTCCCCCTGAAACTCAAGAAGGTCGCCTTGCAAAAGAAGCAGGTCCCCGTACTGAAGCAGTAGATCTTTAGGTTGACGCTCTCACACCCTCTTGTTCAGAATCAGAACTACACCGCATTGAATGCAAAGAGAGGGGAGATCTTCATGCAAATTAAGTTGGCCGAGTATGTTAGATGGCCACCTCGAATGAGGGGAGACCCCACCAACCAGAATCCCAACAAGTACTGTCACTTCCACTGGGATATCAGACACAATATTGAGAACTGTCGTAACCTCAAGGATGAGATTGAGTAGCTAATCTGATAAGGTTACCGGAAGAATTTCATCAAGCAAGAAGACCGAGACCGACCTGCCACTCCGTTGTGTAATCGACATTAGCTGGGAAGAATTCAGTTCGGAAGCTTGTACATGAGGACGAGATCCTGCTGAAGCACCATCTAGTGGAGGAAGTGATCGACTTCACTGAAGATGACGTTTGCGGGATCCAATATCCACATGATGAAGTCACCACCCATTTTTTAAAGGAAACGGGCCCTCATTTTTAGATTTGAAAAGTCGATTCAAGTCTTTGATAGTGATTGTTCTCTATGGAAAAGGCATACAAATGATAGATTTTGGATTCCAAGAATTGGGAGAGGGAAGGTGTTAGGCATCCTCTCTCCAAGATACTGTAATAGCCCAATACGGGAGTTGTTCGGGTTCAAATTCTAGCGAAACATGAATTATAGGATTGTTCAAAGTTCTTGAAATCTAGCAAAAATGTTCCCTTCACCCAAAATTGATTTGAGGTGATGTTATTGGGTCTTAGGTATTGGTTTCCTTAAG